GGTGCTCCTATTAGACAGGTATATCATACATGCAGGGCCTAAAATCAAGCAAGAGAATGCGCGCATTAAAGTCCAATGATATCTACAGAAAACTGCAATATGCCTCTTTCTGCCTGCGATCCTCTTGTCCAGCAGGGGATCTGTCTGCAGATGAACATGATCAGAACATTCATGTGAAAGTGTTAAGATGTTAAGAATCTTCTTAGCAAACCCTTGTGGCTTTAAAGCTGAACTCCTGAAAAAGTAAAACCTTCTATTGCATTGGGGACACACCCATACTGCAAGGGTTAAATGCTTGTTGATGTCTAGGGTACATTTTACTTTAAAGATCTTTACAGCAGGCTCCTCTGCACTGCTAGACTGATTACAGTAGCCTCATCTTCCCTGCACTCTGGAAGTTGGATGTCCTCTGACATCATCAAGAGAGGGTTTTTACTGTTACTGGAGTCTGGCTTTAAAGCGGTAGTAAACTCTTTAAAAAAAAAGTTTCCTGCTGCAAGGGAATATCATAATATGCTAGTATGCATCGCATACTAGCACATTATGGAAGACTTACCTTGAAATGAAGCCCTCCAGTGGCAAGCTATCACCATTGCAGAGGCTTCCATCTTCACCCGATCTCCTTCTGGGTTCGCAGACTGCAGCCACTTGATTGGCTGAGCCGCAATGATGGCACACAGCTCTGAAGGAAGGGCATGCTATTCCTTCAGTGCACATGCGCCGGTGACGTAGACTATACAGTTAGTAATCAGTAAATCGACCAAAGAACAAAATGCTAAAATAATAGTTCAGCAGTCTCTGTCAAACTCTTGGCCAGAATGTTTACCCCCAAATCAGGTGTTGGAGCATTCATAGTTACTCCAAAGCCATATATAGATGCCTGAACTGTGTACCAAGCATACAATACTGTTCTTCTTTAATAAGGTGCAATGGGGTTTGGCCAGTGGCCTCTCACCAACTCCTGGGGTGACAGCTGGTCTCTTTTTGTTCTCCTTCAGCAGATCGCTGAATTCAGTGGCATAGGCATTCTCCCCAATGATCAGGCGGCAGCACCAGTTAGTGGTGTTCTCCCCAACAATCAAGCAGTGGCACCTGTCAGCAGCAGCGGCGTTCTTATATACCAGGTGTGACGATCGCGGCGTTAGACCCCTGACCTTCTCACCAAACTCATGACCGAAGGACTAGCCAATCTAACACCGCGATGTCATGTGCGTAACAATGCCACACCCAGCTGCACCCTGCATAACGATTTTCCAGCTAATGGACCACCAATCAATGTACCAGCAGCCTGAATGCGATTGTTACTGGGTCAAGTTAATTATGCAATTAACCCTTCACATTGCCACCACCTCCTTTTTGTACAGAGAAAGAGGAAACTCGGCAATATCAGCAATAACACTATGATGATGTAACGGACCGCCTGGCGGTACCACTAGCACTCCACTGGTCAGGTGCCCCCAGAGTACGGAATCTAAGCCCCAGAGCACTTGTTCACCAGGGCCCCTGATGGTAAGGATGGACTTGGAGCGCTCTGAGACCAGGTCGTGACTACTGAGTACACCCACTAGTGGTAGGGGTGTTCGCCAGGGGCTCCCACAGGGGAGAGCCTGATATGAGGAGGTCAGGTGACCCCGATGGGATGGATGGATGGCTGAGCAGGTGCGAGGTCAGACAAGCCGGGTCAGTAGCCGTGGGGACGGTGCGGTACAAAGCAGCGGTCAGAGAATAGTCGGGTCACACGCCAGGTCAGCAACAGAAGATCAGATCCAATAGGGGGCATCCAGGAGAGAGGTCAGGCAAGCCAAGGGTCAGAGCAGGAGAATACAGCGTGGTCAAGGACAATCGGGGTCAGCAACAATCAGGATACAGGTTCACAGGTAACAGGAATGCAGAAAAGACCAGACGGCACTCAATGACAGTTCAGGGCTGTTTAAATATCGCGCCCTGCACTGTCATTGGTTTCAGACGCGCGGCCGCGGCCTCTAGTGCGCATGCGCGAGTTCGGATGCCGCGGCCAGCCCAGACCTAGTGCCCGCGTCCCTGCACAAGGCGGCGCACTGCGCCTGCGCCGGGACCAGGGCTGCAGTGATCCCTGACAGATGGTTGAGATAATCGTCTGTATAGCACTGTCACCGCAGACAGGTTATACAGAGGGTTAAACAAACACAGTAGCGTTCTTTTAGAGGCAGGAATTCGTAAGCTGCATTAACGAGCTATAGAAACAGTTCAACACTTTCAGAAAGAAAGATTTATTACTAAAAGGTCAAAAGGGTGCAATAAAAATATTTACAGAAAAAGATGTAACCAATATATATATAAATATACAGAGAACAACAGCACAGCAAAGAGGTAACACAAAGGAGGTTAAAGGTTTAAAGTACTTGCCAATCAGCCTGAGGTTAAGCAGATCAAGTTTCAGAGCGAAAGGGCACAGTCTCCCAAGTAGGTTCTGATGTTAAAAGGGAGAATTCTTCAACTTACACTCTTAGGCCTGACAGCCTATTTTTGGGTCCTCCAGCAGGGGGTGTCTCTGAAGCCAAGGACCAATGCCTCATTTGGGGAGGAATTGTCTGGGCAGAGACCCAAACTAGAACCAAAATCTCTCATAGCTCATATTTTGGCTCATAACTTTTCCTAGGCACAGGTACCATCCCACCCGTGGGTAGATTAATATGCAGACACTTCTGAGGAACGGTTAGATATGAAATATAAAATACAGACTTGCATGGTTCAAGAGATATAATTTTCTGCTTTCCTAGGTATTCCAGTCAGGGAGTGTGACCTATCAAATGATTTGTCTTCTCGTGGCCAATCTGAAGATATGCCTGGTTTTTATGTAAGTCTCTTATATTCCAAGATATGAGACATAGGGGAAAATGGATTTTAAATGTGTTATCTAGTTCCTTACTCCTCTGGAATGTCTTTGAACTCAGGGGACGGCTTAAGTTATCTTTTTACGATGTGCCAGCTTGTACAGGTTCTTTAGACAGCGAGGCCGTTATAGCTCGAAGCTTCCTGCTGTGTTTTGGCCTCCTGTAACACTCATCACTCAGGCCACATGTCACTGTAAATGAACAGAGAGGGAAGCTGGATGATGGGACGACATGGAGAATGCTTAACAAAATGGTTGAACCGTGTCCATCTCTGTGTGTATGCTTGCTACACCAGGTAATGTCCACTAGTCCACCTTGCTGTGTCCCTGATGTGGTGGCAAATGTTCTGCTAACAATCTGTTGCATGGTCTGTTTTCCACAAACTTCTCACCACATTTTCCTGGATCCCAGGAACAGACCTTCCTTTCCTCTTATCAGAGCCCTAGTCATACTGGGATGCTTAGTTACATTGCCAGTCTGACACACAAGCTAATTCTGTCTGGGGACCACATCCTCCACAAGTCTCACTTCCTCACAACAGGCTCGTGTTGTTCCAGGATGCACATCGGTCCATATCCCTTCCTCCATGTCCTCCTTCAGCCAATCACAATCCATTCAGTATACATATTGGCTCACCCAAAATGGCCGCCGACAGGGTAAAGACACTCCATAGTCAAGCATTCATGGCTCATGGCCTTCCCCAGAAAGGTCACTGCAGCTTAGCATTGCAGGCAATTCATTTAATCCTCCTAATATTATAGGTAGGGAGCAATGCTTCTAAAATGGGCAAAAAAATTCAAAAACCTGGCTACACATTTAATGTGCTGGCATGTTTTAGAAATTCTGTTTTATAATGTTTTGTGTTGTCTTGGTTCTCAGCCTTGATGAAAAAGGAGCCTTAAGCCCCAAACACGTGTTGGCTTTGTCTTCTGATTTTTTTTTACCAAGATTAAAAACCTTTTACTGGACTTGCACTATCCTGTGGTGCTTTCATCGTTTTACACTTAGATCCAAAATCAGGGAAGCTAAAGTCTTAGTAACAAAGTAAAGATAGGAGTACAAAGAAGAGGGTATTCTGATTAACAAAGGTGATAGAAAGCACCTGTATAAGGTTTTCTGTTAGTTTGAGCTTTTCAATTTTAAAAGTGAAAATATTTGACAGGTTCATTATAAAAAGTACCTGTGATTGGCACCTGACATTTTGCCCAGTTCTATCTGCAGTGGAATGTGTTCCCAGCATTCAGGACTCATTGCACCTGTGATTCCAGAACCCTTCATCCTGTCCATTAGCTTGAAGCCCATTCTATCGGCATAATATTACATAGAAATTTACTTTAGAAGTACAGAGGTATTTCTTTTGATTTTCACAAGTGACACTCTGTCGGGCTATTGTGTTCTGTCCTGGAGGGTCCTGGCCAGCCTCAGTGCTTGTACATGCAAGACATTTTATTAGTTATGGTGGATGTATTGTTAAAGTTGAGCTCCAGACAGGGGCGGACTGACAACTCATGGGGCCCCTGGGCAATAGGGGATCATGGGGCCCCTGTGTCCAAACTCAAAAAAATACTATGAAAAAGGTACCAGGGGCATCTCATGGGGCCCCCTGCTGACCCAGGGCCCTCGGGCAGTGCCCGAGTTTCCAAATGGTCAGTCCGCCCCTGGCTCCAGACAAACAAGATAAATTATATATGAGAGCTGTTCCAAGGATTTGCATTTCTGTCCATCCAGCCTTTAGATTTACACTGATTTGCAACACAGTAGAGCCCTGTCTGACATGGCTAAAGACCTGATTTTTCTCTGCTGCAGTTCAGTAACACCTACAGCTCTTGTTCCTTCCCCAGACTGTGACTGGACAGTGCAATGATAAGCAGCAGACTAATGAGCTCATCTCTCTGTCACTCTTTTCTCTTACCAGCTCTTGGTGCTGCAGCGCACCTGACTGGCTACTTGAGCTGCTTCTCCCTCCTCCTGTCTGAGCTGTGCTTTACAGGGAATGCAGGAGCTGGTACCAAGCCAAATTCAGGTAGTTTCAGAGTTTACGTGAAAAAAAAACATTTAATTGGAAACTGTTCCTATGTGTATTTTTTATCTGCCTGGAGATAGAGAGTAGCTTCTGACTTATAATAAACAGACACCAGGGGCAGACTGACCATTCGAGCACTTGGGCACTGCTCGAGGGCCCGGGGTCAGTAGGGGGGCCCCATGAAATGGCCCTGGTACCTTTTTTATAGGCTTTTTTGAGTGTGAGCACGGACACAAGGGCCCCATGATCCCCTATTGCCCGGGGCCCCATGAGTTGTCAGTCCGCCCCTGACAGACACTCACCTGTCCAAGGATCCAGCTCCATCCTCACCTGAGCCAATTCTTCACCAGTCATCAGGTCCCTGGTCTGGCATATATTATCTGTGGGCTGCCAGTTAATATAACTCCTCATGGCTTCACAGCTAGTTTTCTGCTGCACATGCGAAGGTCACACTGCACTTTTGTGGATGGTACAAGAAAGTTGGGAGAAAGGAGGGGGGGAGTAGAACTTCTGTTGGATCCACTGTGGCGATCCAACGATAAGTACTGGTGGGTACGTGGTTCTGACCCCATAAATGTGGCAGAGGAACGGGAGTGGGTGAAGTTCCACTTAAGATTTAAAGGGATATTAAAGGCAAGTTTGTTCTTCTTTTTTAAATAGGAAATACTTGTTCTGTGCAGTGGTTTTGCACAGAGCAGCCCGATCCTCCTCTTCTCGAGTCCCCCACAGGCGCTCCTGGCCCCTCCCCCCTGACAAGTGCCCCCAGAGAAAACAGCTTACTATGTAAGCACCCAAGCAGGTTCACTCCTGATCTGCTGCTCTGTGCATCCATTCACACTCAGGGCCAGGGTTCGGTCCTGCCCCCTCTATCTCCTCATTGACTCACTGGTTGTGATTGAGAGCAACAGGAGCCAATGACTCCCACTGCTGTCTCAGCCAATGAGGAGGAGCAGTCCCTTGAGAGCCAAGGCTGGATTGCTGGAATGCAAAGGGGCTCAGGTAAATATTAGGGGGGGGGGGGACTGGGTGTGCTGCTACACACTGAAGGTTGTTTACCTCCATGCATAGAACGCATGAAGGTCAACAACCTTTGAGCCTTTAGAACTATTTTAAATTGATTCTAAAGGATTAAATGTTTTTTTCTAAAAATAACAAACATTTCTATACTTACCTGCTGTGTGCAGTGGTTTTGCACAGAGCAGCCTGGATCGTGTGCCCCACAGGCTCTCCTGGCCCCTCCCTCCTGTTGGGTGCCCCCACAGCAAACAGCTTGCTATGGGGGCGCCTGCTGCTCTGTGTGTTCATTCAATGAGGAGAGGGAGTCCCAGGATAACCAAGACTCCAGTGCACATTTCTGGATTGAGAGGGGGCCTAGGTGAGTATAAGGAGGAGCTGGGGGTGAAGCTGCACACAGAAGATTTTTTACCTTCATTCATAGAATGAAGCCTTCACAACCACTTTAAGTATGGGATTAAACGTTTTAGCAGTGTATAAAAAGAGAAATATACTCAAACACAAAGAAAAGGGTTTAAGCTCCATTAACACCATACAGGTGTAATGGAACACGTGGGCACTTCCATGTGTCACATATAGGGCAGCCCATTCATTTCAATTGGCTGGCTGACAAGTGGGAAATGTGCAAAAGAAGTATGTGTCTGGTTAGCAGATGCATGCATGTGCTGTTAGGAGTTATGGCACCACTGTGCATCTGCTAAAGGGCATTGTGCTTCTGTTCGTGTCAGTAAAGCAGGATTTTGTGTGTGTGTGAACATAGCCTTAGATTTATTTCAAAAGTTCTGTACTGTATTTCAAAAACAGTTGCATATAATAATAATCTCTTTAGCTACAATATAGTATTCTGGATAGCAGAGGATCCCCTGCCACCCATCCTTTGCTCGGCATTGAAGACCTTCAAGCATGTACAGCATGAGGCCAACAATGGATTGGGCAAGTGCTAACCGTTCTTAACCAATCACAATTGATAAAAGCAAGGATACTAACCAATTACAACTGATTAAAAAAATGTGTATGCCATGTGTGAATAGTGCATGAAAGGGTGTCCTCTGTAAGATTTTGTTTACACTTGCAATTGAGGGGTGGTAAAAGCCTACTGTTGAGCCATATTTTAACCTCCCCTCAACTGTTCCCTTGTTGCTTCTGAGGCAGAGTCCAGGGGGGTGTACATTGTGAAATCACGATGCTTTGATTAGCGGCTGCAGCAGGAATTATACCCCTTGTTGTGTTCATTGGGCGGTATCACCCACCGAGCATGACCCATTTAAGTGAATGGTATTCTTCTGTATTAATGAATTCAAAGTACAGCCATGGAAAAGCAGTCAAGTAACATTCAGGCATAGTAAATCTATGGATTAGGAACATCTCAAAGGTAAATTCGATCCTGGCCAAATCTACGCAGCTCCACCAACTGCAGTCTCCAGCATTGTATGTTGATTTTCATGGTCAATAATGAATGGTAGTGAAATCAATCATGTCAGGAGCAGAAACACACATAATTGCGTGACCCTGGCAGAAATTAATCCGGAACACTGTGAAATCCCCCTTCCTGTGGCCTGTGTTATTAAGGTGAATGGAGCTGACAAGCAGATTAATGACCCAGTGTCAGAGAGTTTGAAAGAAGCTCGTCTGAACTTGTCATCGAGTTGTCCCCGAACTTGCAATTTCTCAGTGCTTAAGGCAGAAGTGCTGATCACCAAGAGGAAAGGTCACCATTGTGTTTTCGGCAATATTTAAGTGCCACTGATTAATGCACAGAGAGAGGACAGCTGATTAATGTCCTTGGATAGGGCCCAAGGAACAAAGTATATACGGCTCTATATACATGAGAGTTTAGGACGAGTGCAGACATCCAGAGCAACAAACGGACCATCATATTTTAGTGACTGAGCAAAATCCCAACTCAAGGAAAGAAAACGTCTAAATACAAGGGGTGCTTGTATGTTATCTTGGTGTGCTTTCTGTATTTCTAGATCTGTGCAGTAATCCAGTGCCTAGGAGCTTCCTGCAATAAAGACCAGTCACTGCTGCTCTTGTACAGAATGACCGGTCTGGTCTCTGCCGCCTCTTGTAGTTTTCTGCAGGCAGCGTGCAGTGGGTGGACCTGCTGCCCCTCCTACAGCTTTGCTCTCAGCAAAAGGTATGTACAGCACTGCTACTTTTATATGGTAATATCTGGGTTTGTAAAGGTGTTTAGTGCACACATAGTGGATTTATTTCCTCTGTGGCTATTAAGAAATGTATTTAAAGTTTTAATGTATTTAAATGCACTCGTCATATGTATTCTTACTTAAATCTTGGTGTGTTTCTGTATTTCTTCCAGATCTGTGCAGGAATCCAGTGCGAAACATTACTTCTGTGCAGGAGCTTCCTGTAATAAAGACCAGTCACTGCTGCTTTCTCTCCTTGTGCAGGGTGACCAGTCTTGTCCCCGCCCTTTCTGGAGTTTTTTGCAGACACCTTGTGGTGGGTGGAGCCTACTGAGTCCCTTCTAGAGCCCTGCTCTCTGCACAGGCTTTGTACATGTAGCACCCTTCTAGTTTAGCTAGGGGGAGCTAGACCCTGATGGCTAGAGAGGAGCTGCTTAGCAGTTCAGGTGAGATAGTCAAAAGGGTCAAATTCTTGTCAGGACTGAAAGACTCTGTAAGCCATCTTCTCTGGATTTCCCCCTGCTCTGAGGCTTTCAGGGGAGGGCCTTGGAGGCAGTGGATGGATCTGAGGAGTGGTTGGTTGAAATTTTGAGGGACCTCAGCCAATCCCCAACAGGAGGCTTGGCAAGGGGCTGGACTCCCTTAAAAGTGTTGGAACCTGCTCAGTAGCAGGAGTGTGGTGGTGGGAGAGGAGTATGGAGCAGGAAGATGTGAAGCTGGAGGAGGAAGGCTACCAGGAGGCCTAGTGGGAGGGGCCTGCCTGCAAGCCTAGAGCTGGAAAGAAGGAAACCACAGGACTCACTGGTCCCCTGAGAGAGGATCATGTGTGGCAAGGAAGGAGCAGCCCATTCCGCAAGTGGTACAGGAGAGGATCTGAATGAGTACATCTACACCCACTGGGTGGATAGGGGAAGAACCACTCTGGTGGGAAACCAGATTAGCCCTCTGCTAGTGACTGTGCACCTTATGTAAGGGAGCAGGAGCCAGATCCCCTGCTCAGGAAGAAAGTCTCCATATTGCCGGGTGAAGAGGAGTTCATCTACGGTCTGGGGTGGTACAACTGGAGCTGCTGGCAAGCACTCCTACAGAGACTGTGTCAGAGAAAAGATGCTTGTAAATAGTTCAGGAAATTGTCCTCAGAGTTCAGTTCTCTTGGACATCCTATACACAAATTACATCATCCAAGTTTAATCCCCTCAATAAAATAACAATGCTGAAGGCCTGATTTCTGTCTGTGGATGAAAGCTTGTGTGGAAAATGCTAACTGACTGGCTGTGCAGGACTATAGGGGGACCCAAATTCATCAGCAATCCTTAAGGAGGTAATGCTACATATAGCACAGTGATAACATCACTGCTACTTTTAAAAGGTAATATCTGGCTTTGCAAAGGTGCTTGGTGCTCACAAAGTGGATTTATATCCTTTGTGGCTATTAAGAAATATATTTGAATGAAAGTTTCTGTTCCCTGAGAAAACAAGCATAACTCAAAAGGCAATTCTAGGTGGTTTGTGCTTTGTGAACATTTTACAAACATTGCTAAGCTTTTATATATCTATATAGAAACATTATAGTAAACAGCTGGTAGCAGACCACATAATTTATTCACATATCCATGCTTTTTGACATTTGTTTGGAGAACAAGACAATTATGTTTTATGTTCTCTTTGTATTCACAGGGAAGAAGATTATACAGTATATATATATAAATATTATGTGAACTGTGCTTAGGTAAGCAAATGCAAATAAAACTATAAAGAAAAGTGTTAGAAATAAAACCTACAAGAAGCTGCAAACACACTGAGATAATGTCATGGTCCCAAATACATAAGAAAAGTGTTGCGCTAATTCCAAAATAAATAAAAAAAATAAATATTAAGGTGCTGTACATCAATAAATGATCTACATCTAGCACTAAATATCCAAATCCACAGGTGCGAAAAAACAAAATATATTAAAGTCCCAAAATTTGAAATGGTGATGACTAATGTGCCACTCCAAATAAAAGCTATAGGATGGGAGTATCTCCGAGAAATTAGAAAGATCC